GTAAATAATTGTGGCATTTCCCCTTGCTACTGCCTAGACTATGCATTTGCTTAGCAAACCTCTTTCCCTGTATGTTAGATAGATAATATTTAAGCCAAATTATCAGAAATTCTGGATTTACAGCCTCGAATTAATGTCTTTACTGAAATTTACATTCAAAGGCTTGTATCTAAGTCTCCCTTGCTCTAAACCCAACATATTCTCTTATTAGAGCAAAACCTGCTCATACACCTTCAGTATACCGAAATTCATGAAAATTGTTGATGTGTTGTGCAAGACATTGGAAACACACTGAAGCTGTCTCTGTTACAAAGAAGAATGTAAGACAGGCTTGTCTCAAGTTCATTCAAGAGAACAGTCATCGCTGAAGAGACCCTTTTATAAGGTGGTATTTGTCGCAGAGCAACATGAATTATTGCATTGTAATAGAAGTGAGATCTGATTCTCGTTGAGTAGCTGGTATTCAGGTGATCATACACAGTAAAAGTCTTTCAGATATAACAAATATTTCCATTTCCTTAGCTTTGGAGAACTCTTTTTATTTTTTCTTTAAGTCTGTTTTCCCATTTTGCAGCTTGAGTAGCTCAGTGATTTCCTTTTGTAGAAACTCAAGAGTCTTAAAGGGTGAATTCCTTTATGCTCTTTGTATCTTTTCCAACAGCTCTCCTGTGTAAGTGATAATTTAGGAATCGCTGGGCTAATGTAAACAACCACTTTGACATGGTCACCAGACCCGCAATTTTAAGTTAACCAGGTGTGTGCTGCCCTCTTATGTTGTGTTTGGGTAAATGCAATGAATACAAATGCGCATGAACACTTGGGCGATGACTCTGGAATCTGGCCTGTCTTTCCTATGTTGCCAGGAAGGGTATAAATAAAGCTCTTCTATAGCAAAGTTTTGACCTCTGTGTAATGAATGATAAACCCTAGAATTAGAGTAATTAGAGTGTTTACACGGTTCAAGTTCTTTTCCATCTCTCACTCAAATTGGAAAGTTTTTTGGTTTTGTGTGTGTGTGTGTGTGTGTGTGTGTGTGTATGATTTCTTTTTTTTTTTTTGGCCAATGCAGTCAGATTATCATTCATTTGAAATATGCTTTGTGATGAAATTTAGAAATCAGTTGAGCAGGACCGCAATGCACTCTCTTAATGAACTGTTTACTCTGTGGGGGAGATTCCTTACATTTGTATTGAGTACCAGTTTTTTCCTCTTTAGAAGTTACATCATCTCGGCTAATTATTATTATTATTTTGTATTTATTATGTACAACTATTTGGCTAAGTGTTATTCTTAAGGAACAAAAACAAATTCTGTAGATAAGGTGGTGACAGGTTTTAAAAAAAGAAATTTGAAAAATAAGTGTGTTGCTCTGACTCAACTGTCTTCTAAACCCCTTTTCTGGGATCGACAGCCCTCCAATCACGGACTTGGCTAAACACAGCCGAGCAGCGCAATGTGTGTTTAGCGTGTACTTTGTAAAATGAAAGGGGTGGGCTGGCAGACTGAGAAAACGCCCAGCTCTGAGATGCTGGGGGCTTTACACGATCTCGCCTGCTCTGTGCAGGGTCTACACTGGTAGACTCGCTCTTGAAGAAACCAGGCCTCATTTCATCGCTTCTGAGGGCATAAAAGATGAGAATGATGTGACTTAAGGAGGAGGCATTTCGGAACCTCAGATGCCACTGCTGTCACCTGGGGGCACCAAAATTTCATCTCAACCGTTCAGCAATCAAGTTACTAAACTCCCATTATGTGTCGGAAACTGTGTTAGGCAGTGGGGATAAAAGGAAAACAGAGAAGACAGGATCCCTGGTCCACTGGGGAAGACAAGCAGATTCAACAAACAAAGTGTCACGACGGTGATGGTGGAGATGGTGGAGATGGTGGTGATGGCGGTGATGGTGGTGATGGTGATGATGGCCACACCTAGCACTTAGTCGTTGCTTACCATGCGCCAGGCACTTAATATGCACGTTCTCCTTTAACCTTTTTTTATTAATCCCAATTTATGGATGAGGAAATGGGGACCTAGGTTAAGTAACTTCCCAAAGTTCACTAAGAGGTAGCGCTGGAATATGAATCCAGAACTATATGACCCAAGGGCTGAACTGAACTTCACAGACACATCACTGCATTGCTTCCCATAATAGGGAAATGCAGGGAATCTCAGAGCAGAAATAATTAAGTAACCGAAGCGGTCAGGAAATGCTTCCTGGAGGTTGTGACATCTAGGCTGTACACCTGAAAAAACGAATTAGCAGAAGAACTTCTTGTCAACTATAAACTGTTTATGGCCTCTAGTAGTAGGAATAGAATATTTTATAAAAGTAAAGCATTCACTTGAAATTCTCAGAACTGAATTAGGTAACACTGTACATTAATATTACAAGGTCACAGGCCTGAGAAATGTCATCGCATACTCAAGAGATTGTTCATGCCTCAAGGGCAGGGATGAAAAAGCCATGTTATTGCTGAAAGCATCTTATGTCCATCTTGATATATCCATGAAGAGTCTCCTTGTGACATTCTTCCCCAAACAAAGGCCTCGAGTAGAAAGGAAGGTCAAAAAAAGAGAAAGAAGGAAAGAAATTATTTGGTGAATCAACATGATGTAAGTTCTCCTAGGAACTTTATATCAGTTTTGAGTCTTAGCAATACTCTGGAGTGGTTATTTGCAGTATCCTTATTATGAGGAAATTAAGTATTTTTGATCTATGGGACGATATCAAAATTGCATGTATCCTGCAACAGTTTTTTTTTTCTAACATTTTTCGTGACCTCTCCCACCAGAAACAAACACAGAGCTTGGCCTCACCGTAGGTCGTCCACAAACGTTTGCTGATTCAATTAATATGATCACCATACGTGCTAACTTGCCCAAGGTCACACAGCCAGGAAGTGGCGGAGGAAGGATTTCAGCTGAGACTTTTCTGATACTAAGGCCTGCTTTACACTCGCTTCTCTGGTTGCCTCTCAAATCTACACCAGCTACCGCTACAAAATATCAGGGTCACATGGTCAAAGGAACACGTGAGAACGTCATCAGACCACTGACAGTCACTTGAAGGTCACCAATTACCTCTAAAACACAAAGCAGGAATGGGGATAATATCCAGTTTTTATAAAGAGATCGCTGAAACTCATGAATCTCACTGGCAGGGAAAGTCTTGTCCTATGGTTTTCCCTCCAGCTTCTCCTATTTTTAAAATTTCCAATGCAATTTAGAAAATTAACCACTTTTCTGAGAGTCAGTGCCTTCGGGAGTCCATGAGCCCACGTGGCCGTCTGAGCTGGGAGAGGGTCTCCAGACGAAGGAGGCCAGGGACACCTCTATGTTTCTGGCTCCACACGTGGCTTGGGTGGCCGTGGTGGGAGGTGGCGAGGACCACGTGGGGCTGCAGGGCGGCTTCCTCAGTGCCCAGATGCTCTCAGGGACACAGAGCTGCAGCCCTTTGTGACACACAGTCTTCTACGGAATGGCCTGTGCCCCAGCCCCTGGTTTTTCCAGACTTGAGCACTAGTGCACCCCGACCATATCATAAGATCTTGTTTTCCATGTGTCCTTCCATCATGACCAGAAACTCCAAGAGATGCTCCACACTTTACCAGGAAAACGATTCCTGTCCCCTGGGTTTTCATCAGGCCAGGTAGTCCAAGCTCTTCCT